TGAAATGAACCACAGCAGGTTTCCAGTGACAGTGACTCCACTTCCTGGACAGCCTGCTCTAGTGTTTAATAACCCTTTCTGTGAAGAACTTCCTCTTACTGTCCAGCTTGAACCTTTCCTGGTGCAGCTTGAGGCCATGTCCTCTTCTCCTGTCACTAGTTGCCTGGGAGAAGAGGCTGACCCCCACCTTATACATAAATAATACAGAAGAGCCTTAAATTCTGATTTAGCCTGTTCCTCCATTTGTAAAACATTTTCCCCACTAACAGTATGATAAAAAGTCTAGGAAAAAAAAAAAAAGAAAATAGGGTTTTACACTCAGCAAACATCAGGGCAACTTTAGAGGTTTCTGCTTTTACAACAAAAATATTGGTTTAGCTGAACATTTTATGTCCTTTGATGGTTTTCTTCCCTAGTACAAGAAGCTCCTGCAAGCTTGTTCAGTGTTTACCTATTGCAACTTGTTATTATGTATATATTTTTTCCATTTCCAGTTTAATGACCAGCTGCAAGACTAGCATCACACACAGACAAATAAATACACACAGTGCATTGCATCTGTGCAGCAGCTCTACTGCTCATCAGCTCTTCACTGGAACTTATTTTCAGCAATGACTTTCTTTAACCAGACAGCTGATCCCTCAGGTTGTCATGAGGACTTCTTGCATTTCTTGAAGCTGTCTAACACATGCATTGTTGTGAAAATGCCAAGAAAAAGAGTGTATAATTTTAAAGGAAAAATTCAAATAGTTATACAGGAAACACTTCCTGAAGAAAAAAAGGATTTCTCTAAGGTTTAAAATTACTTATTTGCCAGCCTAATCTGACTTTTTTTTTTCTTTGTTCAGATCCTCAAAATGAAAGGTGTTCTGAGTTCCTCAAATAAACACATATACCCAAATCTTCAGAAATTCTGCCATGAAAGTTGGAAGAAACATAACAAATCCCGCCATAAAAATGTTACTGAAAAGCAATTAAAAAAAATACACCAAGTTCCTGTAACAAAAAAAATGTTCTAAAGTGGAGACAGCTGCACAGTAAACTACACATAAAATGTTTACCAACACAAAAAGTCTTCCTGGTAATTCTACAGGGATATGACAAAAAGAAAAAAAAAAAACAAAAACAAAAACAAACAAAAAACCCCACAACAAAACTAAGATGCTTAGCCAGCCTAACCCAAATAGGAATTAAAATAATACACAAGTGATTTTATTAATTTTGTTAGTGTCTGAAACCATGTGGGAAGTATTCAAAAGGCACGTTTATTTTGTCTCATTGACAACATAACAAATACTAACCATGAAGATTTCTACCTTTCAACACTACAGGCCCTACTTCAGGTTGAGAGGCAGTGCACTTCACCAATGTTTTGTTTCCACAGCATCCAAAAATAAAGTGCTGAAGTTCCAGGCATAACAGCGTTACTAGATCAGAACCTCAGCATGCTTTCTGAAAAATTCAACCACAGTAAGAAAGGTTCATCACCGCTCTTAAAAAAAAAAAAAAAAAAAAAAAAAAAAAAAAAAAAAAAAAAAAAAAAAAAAAAAAAAAAAAAAAAAAAAAAAAAAAAGTAGGAAGATTCATTGTATCACCTGCAATTGTAGCATCTTCTCACAGATAAGAGGAAGGAACTGGCAACAGTGCAACACAAGTATCTATAATGAAATACAATGAAATACAATATACTCGATCTGAGCCCTGCAGCGTGGATGCAGTGGCTGACTGCAGGGACTAACACAAGCCCACTCTTTTCTTCTGTCTCCCCGAGGTATCAGGAAAATGATGTGTCCGCCTCGTGCAAACACACTGCTCAACAACCTCACCACGGCAAGAGTTCTAACAAGGCAGGACCACTGGTTCTCTTGTAATTTGAAGATTAACATTACTGCATGTAGTCACAAGGCTACGAGAAACAAATCCTAATGGTGTACGTTCAGAAAGATGCATAAGGAGTATGGAAAGTGGGCCTATTAAGTATTTTATAATTTGCATTATAAAAAGCAGAGGAATAAGAATATTTTGCGATCATGTTACTTAAAACTGAGAACAATTCTCTTTTGGTCATGTAAATACTCAACTTGGTTAAATCAAGACAATCACAGATAGACATTTTTTCCCAAATCTTTGGCTGTATTGCAATGGTTGTTTCAATTTGTAATCTCCAACTAAACATTTCCTATCCATGGATTAACAATATATTTACTGACTTGTGTCTTTTAACAGTATTTATCCAACATAACAAAATAAACTGCAATTTGTTATACTTTTTTTTTTTTACAAAACATTTTATAAATATTTTTACAAAATGTATACAAAGCAATTTCAAGTGAGACATACTTTACAAATGAAGGTATTTAAGCAAATAAAGTCCATACCACACTGACAATAAGTGACACATCCTCTTTAAGTGAAGTCAGTCTGTAAGGCCTCCCTACTCTAACAGATAAATTATACTAAAATCTTCAAAATGAACATAGTTTTCTTAATTGCCAGTTTAAAATTTGTTTTAATATTAGGCAGTATTAAATAACATTGAAATCACAATGCTGATCCAGCAAAATAATGAAAACATGTTTAAAGTCATGCACATTCACAATACTTTGCTGGACTTGAGCCCATATGATTAATAAACTTTTTTTAAGCACCACAAAAATACAATTCTTTCAATTACTGCTTCACCACGTACCAGAATTCCTTTAGAATTGAATTCAAAGGAGTGAACAACAGAACATCAACAAACTAAGATCAATCTTGCTAGGACTGTTCAACGGGTTCCTCTCATAAGCAGTTCAGGGAAATGTGTCTGACCAAATCAACCACGATTACTTTTTGTAATTTGTCATTTTTTATATGCCATTTCCCATCCTCCTATGAGATCCATCAGAAGACACATAGCCTGATACTTCAGTTATGTATTTGCTGTAGAGAGGCTGGAAACCCCATATCCATTTTGAGCTGGTACAAAAAGCAAGGGGACTAATGAATGTGCAACTTCACTTCTTTTTCTTCTCTATAAAAGAAAAATTTAACTGGTTAACATACAGCTGTGAAACTTTACTGCTCTCCTTCCAAGATAGTTAAGAATGGTTAAATTTCCAAAATGATAAAATAAAATATGCATCAGGATACACAGCCATGAGCATATATATTAAATCAAAAAAGGCAATAAGTGAAGACTATATTGTCAGTTTTGCCAATAAGAAAACAACTAACTGCCTGAGAGTCTATTCTATGGACACCCAACTAAAAATTTAAAACTGGCAATACTTCTTATTATATTGAATATGTTATACAACACTTGGGAATGTTGGGTTTTTACAAACATGTACTTTAAAATTGGCACAATTCTTTTAAATGGCAATTAGTAACATACAAAAACCAGTATTTCCATTCATGTTGAAGGGGAAATAGATTTTAAGGAAGTTCATCTTTCTCACATTGCTTTCTAGATTTGGTTTCCTTTAGCGGTCAGACAGTGGACTGTAGCTCAATACTGAGTTGCACTGTAATCTTCTGCTATCACAAGGATCTAATTCTGCTTTCTTCTGTGCTATTCAGATGGACTGAACTACACGACAGCAAAAGCTTTTGTTTTCTCTCCTGGCAATCTGACTGACAACCACAGCTTGTCACAATGAGCCCCTATCTCATGAAAGTCATAATCAGCAAGTCTGAAAAACGGTTGGTAATTTTTCTAAGAAATTGTGGAGAAGTTCTGGGGAAGAACATGAGCATAACTTAAAACCCACAAAAGCTATATCCTCCTGAGCAGACATATGTACTACACGCACGTGACGAACGTCAGCGCGCTTATGTGCATAAAAGCACTCATGACCAAAGTAAACTAGGACAAAGCAGCATGGGCAGCAAAAAAAAAAAAAAAAAAAAAAAAGAAAAAGGTCATAGATTAAAATAAATAAATAAAATATTAAGATTCTATCTTAATAACATGACAGCAAGCCAGATACAAACCATGCAATGGTTTCACTTGGCTTTACAATATGAATTAATAATTACACATTTTTTGATATGTTTAAACAACGGGATTGCTGATCAACTTTGGTCTGTACATATCTTGATAATCATGACTGCTACGGTGGATGATTTAACATTCTCTGACAGCAAAACAGCAAAAAAATCAAAAATAAACACTGGCCTTTAAATTTAATCAGAGTAAGGCTAACATCCTCTTAAAATATAAGCTACAAATACAGTTTTCAAATAAAAGTGCTTTTGACACTTGGTCTAAAAAAAACAAACAACAAATTAAAAAAACAAAACAAAAAAAAAAAAAAAAACCAAACAAACAAAAAAAAGACATTTATACCACTTCAGAAAGACTCAAGGCTGACTACATCCAACTATAAAATGCAAAATCTTTTCCTCAAGAGTTAACATATATATGTATTATATATATAAATTCATGGCTCTATCATGGCCTCATCCTGTACACTTTGCCTTTTACTGGCTTCCATTCTACCTTCCTTAGTCAAGCATTTATTACTTCATATCATGCCACTGTGACTAAGATCATATAATATCATCCCACAGACTAAAGTTACCCACTACAAATATATCATCAAGTACTAGTTTCTGCTCAGAAAGCAATAGAAAAGCACTTAAAAGTTTAAATTATGAAGCTTGTAAACACACTGATGATTTCCTTCCAACTCAAGAATCCTAGCATACAGATTCATCAACAAAGCAAATAATCACTTCTGAATAGAGGTACAGTGGGTTTTCCAGAAAAACTAAAAATTTGATGATTTGTGGAAGAGAAGGTAGGGGAGAATTGTTGCTTCCATCACTCTTTAAAAACATTTTCTTAATAAATATATCCTTTCAAATTACTGTGATTGTCAGTATATTACCGTATTATATAGGGCCTAACAACCTGCAACCTTGTTACGTTGCAGCACTGCTCAATTAAAAGCACTATCATAATAATACTTGAAACAGTAAGGCCCTAACAGACTGCATTCTAACAAGGATTAACTTTACTTGGATATCTCACTGTAACCACAATGAGTATTGCTCTCAAACACAGAACAGAATCTAGTTTAGAAAGGTTAACCTTAAATGCATGTCAGGCTGTACTTGTGGTGTCATTCACATTTGCTTCTGCTAAGAGAAACATAACTTGTCCATGGTACTGTAACTATTAACACTCTAAGATACTATTTACAGCTGCTTCTAAAATAGAGTCAGTTTCTACAACACTTTCACTGTGGTCTGGAATAAATTTTTCCAGGCAGTTCTCTTGTGAAGCAATAGGTGAAAAATTGGGAAATTCTAATTCAACGGAGCCGCTACTTGCTGCCTCATTTTGTGGCTGTCTCCCAGCTTTTTTAAGTTCCAAGATGTTTTTAAATGTAGTTTCTAAACTCTTACTGAGCAGTAAGTCTTGCTGGGGTTCACCAGAGCCTTTCCTGTTATCAGGATGCAAAACCTCATTCTTTGGAGAGCTCCTCAGAGTTTTGTCTTGAAGAGAATTATTACATGTTACCTTTGAGAAAGATTGAACTGTGTTCCTTGATATCTTATTCTGTGTCCCAAGACTGCCTCTTGACACAGCTTTTGACAAGTCTTCAGAACTCGAAGAATTCTCAGTGGACTTGGCAAGACCTTTCCCAGTCATCCTTTCTTCAGAAAGGGCCACGTATTGGCTCTCAGAAGAACAATTAGCTTTTTCAAACTTTAAAGCTTTAGTGAGGCTCTCCGATTTTTTAGTAGAAGCTTTTCCTTCTTGTGGTGTCAGAATGTTGTTAGGCACTAGAGGAAGTTTACTGTGATTTGTGGACTCTGCTGAGCTGGATTTTGGTCGGTCTCTCGCTTGGATTTTGGTACTCTGACTTCGAGAAGGTAATGTTTTGCTAGACTGATGGTCGCTTTTGCTGGACTGTGCTTCTTCAGCTGTTTTCTCAAGTTGTTTGGCAGCACAACAAAAATCGGCCTGATAACCATCTGAAAATTAAGTAGCAATGTTTTACTAAAATTGCCTAAACATAAAAATAACTGACACTCCAATATAGCTTCTGAGTATTAAAATAACATCCACAGCCCACAGATCTGGGTCTTCGGGAGATGTTCATATGCTTAAGTGTTCTGCTGCATACAGTGCAAGAGATTATCACTAAAGTGATCAGCACACTATGCACGTATGTGCACTGTAAAACCAGATTAAGGGCTCTTCCCAGAATTCTCAATATGCAAACATGGTCTCTGGAAGACTAATACTTCCTACAATACATCCTGTGAATGTCTTTTAAAATATGCAGAACCTTTAAACAAATAGTAGCTGCTATCTTACACAAATAATGTGTTTCTAGGTGCTATGTTTGAAAACATTCTGATTTAAAAAGGCTGCCATTTAAGTGGTTGTGACACTCCAAAACCAACACTTCATTATGATGAACAAGAGCAGCCATGCTCCATATAATGGTGTTCTTTCTGGCAGCAAGAAACTCACAGATTCTTCCCTGCTAGAACTGACACCATGCAGAAGTAATGACTATTGTCAAAAGAAACTCAGAAATATTTCTCTGCCAAACAGGTATTCTTTTTTCCAAAAACGACTGTTTCAACCTGTCTCTAGATCATTGAATTTTGGAGTTATGAAAAGTCATCTTGCAACTGCTTATTCAGTATTTTTAATACTGGAATCCACAGCAATCAGTGTCCCACTGTGGCCACTACTATTTTTAAACGCTCCGCACTTAATTTAGAAGTTAAGCATTGCTTACCAGGATCCACAAGTGCAAGACGCTTATCCCGGGTCAGAGATGCCCTTTCTTCCTGGTTAAACATCCTATCAATCATAACCATTTCTGCAGAGGGATTTATCCGCTGCAGGAACAGGAAAAAAAAAAAAAATCTCTGTAGTGACTTGTATGTTGCTACCAAATCAAAACATTTATAGCTTAGTTGCTCTTCAGAGAAAGAGAAATTTCTTTCATCAGATATTTGTGATGAATACTCACAATTTAACAATCTTGACTCTGACACAAACACTACTGAAACTTAATCATAAAATATTACTCACATTTTATGGCAAATTTTATTTGGTAAAGATTTTAAAACAGGAAATTACTATTCCAATCATAAAAATTGCACTTTTTCAGGACTGAGTACATTTACTACTGTATACCACAATATTTTTACATCATACAGTATCTTTCTCTCATAGAGGGACAAGAGACAACCAGCAAAAATCTTACAATGGGACCACCCTATCATCTTTCCTACACTTCTCTTCCAACCTTATAACTAGTTGGTGCTGGATTTCATTTTGCTGACAGTGCCTTCAAGCCAGTTGGATCCATCCATCATGGAAGAAAGCTCACTGCACTAAGTCACAACACAGGCAACGAGTTCCAAACCTGAATGATATGTGAAACAACCCCTTCAAAATTACTGAACAGTATTTGCCATACAACATACCAGATGCTAAGAGAACAAATTCCAAACTCCTTCCCCTCTTTGCATCTGCAAATACTTACAAGTATTTGATGATGAGGATCTTTTTTAGCGGAACTGATAAGATTCCAAAACCGTATTTATTCTAACACCTATAGTCTGTATGCCTGATTATAAAGCAGAGTGATATAAATGTCTATTAAACTCAAAACTTTTCTAGGCTTGAAAACCAGCATCTCTGAGGCCACAATGACATTTCCTGATCCTTGTAAAATACATTCTTACAGTAACTTTGTCCATTTTATTTTACCTCATACCTGGGATTGTGAAAGTACTTAAATCAGAAGCATTTCTGATGACAATATGAGATTCCATCTAGCTTCTAAGGACAAACAATGGTTTCCTAAATTGGAATACGATTTGGCTCCAATTAAAACATGGTTGGAGGCCTCTAAATGGACATTTTCAACATTATTTCACACTCCAACAGCAATAAAAATACACAGAAATCACTTTCCTGACGACCACTGTCTGTGCAGTGCAAGAGCAAAGTAGAAGCAGAGAGCAGAAGCTCATGTGCCTTCGATGCCTATGGAACGTACCAGTTAACAGCACCCTTGCTTAGGCAGTATGTGAAATACAAACTCAATTCATTGCACCGACTTTAAGATGTGTGCATATACTGAAAAATGCACCTTACCATTGCATCTTCTATAAGCAAACATCTGTATTTGTTCAGCATAGCCTGTGTCCTCTTCAGAAGCTGTGTGGCTACGGATTCAAATTCACTGTCCACTAGAAAGACAAAGTATACTTTCAAACACTGCTCTTCAGTAAACTGCACAAATTTTAAAATATTCCTTTTCTTTTTGGTCTGACTTACATTGAGAATCTTCTCAATACACTGATTAGAAACTTACTGCCAATTTTTAAAAGGGAAGTTACCTTTTCTTAAGTCTTCCTCTGTTGGCAGTGATCCCTGGCACACATGGTATGAAAGGAGTCTTTGCACTGCATCATTTAATGATCTGAACCGAGTTTTATCTGGTGTCACAGCATGTACTTGATCCTTCTGTAACTGTTGTAGAATACTGCAACAAAAATTAATGATACATAATTAACAAGTACCACACAGAAGTTTTTACATTGACAAAAACTAAAAAAATTAGGTTTCTGCAATAAAATTACAAAGGAAGAATGACTTACAAAGCTCCTTTAGTTAACTGCTTAGCAGCAGGCCTTTTCTGTCCAACTAAATGACCATCCACCTAAGTTCAAAATAAAAGACAAATTATAATATTTCCCCTCCTTTGCAAAGTCTATCAGGATTTGTTTCTGCCACCAATACTAACTATAGACACCACATAACTCTAAACACTTTCAACTATCTCCTCTTTTAACAGGACACTATGTCAACAAAATCGGGAAGTCACATAAATCAAAGGTCTGAAATGCTGTTTGTAGGCAAATTCCACTGTAGTGGAATTCCACGCTTTACTAGGAAAGAGATTACCAAATTTAGCAGGTGAAAAGAAGGAAAGGTACAACTAAAACCTTATCCAAATAAATTTGCTCTCACAAACAGTCTCTGCATTTCTCAGAAGACGATAATCATATACTCCAAAAAAACCCCTTGCAAGGATTCCTAGCTTGTTTGCTCACTCCCTACCCTAGTGGGGAGGAGAGTTAGAAAAAAGTAAACCTTGTGGGTTGAGAAGAACAGTTTAATAATGGAAACAAAGTAAAATAGTAATTACTATAAAATTGTAATGAAAAAGAGAAAGAGAGGGGAATTAAACCCAGGAGAAAAAAGTGATGCACAATACAATTGCTCAGCACTCTCTGATGGATGTCCATCCCATCCCCAAGCAGTGATCAACTGCTCACAGCCAATTCCCCCATTTTTATACTGAACATGACGTTCTCCAGCGTAGAATATCTATTTGGCCAGTTTGGGTCAGTTGTCCTGGCTCTGCACCCTCCTAGCTTCTTGTGTACCTCCTCACTGGCACCACATGGGACACTGAAAAGTCCTTGACTTACTGAGTAAGCACTGCTCAACAACTAAAACATCGGTGTGTTATCAACATTATTCTCATCCTAAATCCAAAACACAGCACTGTACCCACTACTAAGAAGAAAATTAACTCTATCCCAACTGAGACCAGGACAGACAGGGAAACATATAAATAAAAGTATTTTCTACCTGTATACTCTGTTGAACTGATGCTGATCCTATCACTTTTTCTTGTGGCTGTGCTGTTCCTAGAGATTGCTGTATGATTTTTCCTCCAGAGTCCTGTCCTATAATAAAACGTTAAAAAGATTCTGTCATCCTAAGCAAGAAGAGAATAATTTCATGTACCTATCCCGATAATTTTACTTGAGTTTTTAGGAAGGATATGTCTTACATGCTTAAAAGCACTAGTGCAACTAACCTGTGGAGAAACCAGCTCACACAAATGAAACAGGACTGATATTTTGTGCTGCAAACTACAAAAATCCTCAGATATAAATCACCCCCCACCATAGTGCTGAAAGGTAAGAAGAAATTCAAGTATCCTAAGTTTAGTGTCCCAACAATTTACTGAAAATTATACGGTAAATTTTATCACCATTTTCAATACTAAGCCTCCCTCAAGCATATAAACCACATTTTTCTAGAGCTCCTGAAAGTATTTAAACAGCAAGCATATTTTTCCCCCTATATTTTTTAAATAGGCAGACTTCGTCCAACTACCTTTCTCCATAACTCAAACAGCATCTTATCAGTCATGCTATGTTACAATAACAACAAATAAGAATTTATTGGGTTTTTCCCAAAAAAAAACATCCAACACACTGTGCTAATTGTAAAGAACTGCTGGGCAGCTTATAACAGTACACAGGGAAGAGAAAAAAAGCAAGGTAGAGTATAAGACCTTATTCAAACGAGTAAAGTGTGTGCAGAGAGTAATGAATTTTTCTATTTGATTTGAATATACTGGTATTGTTCTTTTAGTAGCATGGTGCTCCTTGAAAAGCCCAGTATTTTGCCATGGACAACGCATTAACTATTCCATCTGAAAGTGGCACATTAAGAAACAAAGTGAGTGGTGACAGCCTGCACAAAACCTTCTAATTATTATTTTTCTTCCCTCTGCAGTCATGACAACACAGATCCTCGAAGCTTCATAGAATTTTAGCAAATGTCTGTATTTGGAAAATTACTTATTTCTACTTTTGTAAGCTGGAAAAAAACAAAGAAAAATGAAAGAAGGTACAATTTTGGATTTTATAGAGGGGAGAAATAATTGCTAATTGTGGAGATTCAACTTTTCACTCTAGAAAATGAAGTACCATTGTTAGGGAAAAAATCAAAGCACACATTTAATACTGAAAAAAATAGCTTGCATTCTTCTAAAAATTGAATTCCAACAACATTTATGACCCTATCAGCATGATCCATCAGTGTAAGTCTGACACACTGAAGAACGAATCCCTCTTGCTGGAGAAAATTAAGAGAATTATGTTAAAAAGACCTTAGTTGACCTGATAGTGTGTTGCTCAGAAGACTTGTTAGCTGAGGTTGTCTCAAATTATCCTGTGTCTTCGATGCAGAAACTGGTGATGTCTGGTTCACAGCCTTTTTCTGCGCCACAAACATAAAATAAATTAAAAATGATTTTAAAAATCACAGTGAAATATTTACGGGCAGTTTTAAGAAACAGATGGAAAAGGCATCTAAAATTCATCTCTGTGTATACTGTTTTAACCTCAAACTCATCAGTGGTGAAATTTCAGACATCTCAATTTCTCCAAGGTTAAGAATTTTATAAAGTAAATCAAAGAGGAATAGAAATTGCACTAACAATACAAATATATACCAGTTAAATTTTACAAGACCTTTGATTTACCATTACAAGAGTCTCAAAACTGCAAGATGATAAAGTTGCTTTTACAACAAAATGATGCATGGTTTATCATACAGTACAATGTTTAGAATGGAAGTACAAACAAACTAAAAAGATTCTGGGAAACAGTGGCATTTGTTCTCTGTGGTTCCCATTTTCAGCTCTGAAATTTCAACACAAAAACAAAATGAACTCTTTAGCAATAAGAAATATTATGCTTTTATAACTTCTGAAACTCACTAACCCAGCACATAACCTACAAACAGGAAGATGTAGACACATGAAAAGAAAGTCAGACAGGCCTCAAATTACTCAAATTACAAAATGTAACAACCTGCACTAGTAGTTTTGGCAAAGACTACAAATGTGGTTCTACAACATGTTTGTCCCTGTTTTTTAAATACATATTATTTTCTAAGACATTATTTCATTGCAAATTTTGGTTTTGTTTAAAAAAAACCTATCAGACCTTCGGAAAAAGAAAAAGAAGTAAAATAATTAATGCAAGTGCACTCTGAGACAGTTATCAGTATTTTTAAATGACCAAGAAAAAACAAACAAAATCAAAAAAAAGGACAGAGGTGGAATAACTCATTGCTAATCGTGAGAGAAGTCATTGAGTTAAATACTGGCAGCTGACTTTAGAACCTTTTTTTTTTTTTAAACTTTTGACAGTTTGGAAGCTCTCTTATGAAAACATACAAATTTGAGTTGAATATATACTGCAGCTGTATCTACTGGAAAAAAAAAAGTCCACTTCTCACCCTAAAAGTCAAAAGGTCAAAAGACTTTTAAGTGCTAAGAATATACCTGAGCCTCTACATGTAGCCTGTGCTAAGGTTTTCAGGAGAACTCATAGCTGTATAACCTTACAGTACCCACCTTTTAAACAGGAGCAGAAATAGATCAATGCTAAGCACTTCTGAAAATATTACTACAAATCACAGAAAAAAATCTTTTGAATTAATCAAAGTGACGGAGTCATTCACTCAGTGACAGAGTTAAAAAATACCAAGTGAAATGATGTCTCTGGGTCACAGTGGTTTTCAGCAGTTCCACAGCATTTGGAACAATACAAACCAGCAAAATTAATGTTCTCCGTATTAACAGCAATATTAAACTTTGCTAACCAGCTTTTAGCACAGCTTAGAAGCATTTCTTTGGCTACGCTCTCAAGCAGCTTTCATACCTGACCAAAGGCAAACTGTTGTTGTGTTACTCCACCAGATGTGTGACTGAAGGTGCTGACGGATTTGGAAGAGGATGCTGGAAGACGATGCGATGCACTGACAGAAACTTGAGTTCTGTTCTGTATGAGCTGATCTCCTGTAAAGTTTCCTCCTGATGCGACAGACTGAACCGATGGTCCCAAGCTAGGATGTACTGAACCAGAAGAACTTGCAACAGCAAATCTGTTAGAAGCTGACATGTTTGAGACTGTGGACTGCCCGGGTGACATCGCAGTGAAACTCGATCTACCTTGAGAAACATTAGCTTGACTGGGTGACAAATGCAACACCGTTGGTGACGCCTGCTGCAGCGGCACCTGCCCACCAACAATTTGTGAAGTTCCATGATTTACTATAACTTGGTTTCCAGGAGCTGTGAATGTCTGGCCAGAAACAAGCTGAACAGCTGTGTTCTGATTATTCAGCATCTGTCCTGAATACGACTGGTTGGCTCTTAGCATGTTTGTAGAGTTCCTGTTGAGCATTACATGCTCAGCAGACACTTGGCCGGGAACCAGCTGAGAAGGCTGAGTCTGAAGAAGTTGTCCATTTATGGCCTGGACATGATGAACTGAATTAGAATTAACAGACAAACTTGTAGGTATGAGAAACTGGTTTTGAGATGCGTGAGGCTGTCCCATAGGAGAATGGATAACAATACTACCTCCAGCATTGCTAACTGTCTGAGGTGTAACGGATTTTCTTGCATTTTGTTGATTAACAATATTAACAGACATGTGAGGACCAACTACTGAACTTTGAGGTGAGCTTGCAGAAGCAAACGGAATCCCTTGCTGTACATGATGTTGCTGTATTCCCAAGTTATTCACATTGTAAGCAGTCTGCTGACCCATCTGAATCGGCTTTGGTTGGATATTAATAGGAACTTTGTTAGAGTTTGGCGCCAAACCCCTTTGAATGATGATATTATGGACAGGCAACGAAGTCTGAAAATTTGTGCTGTTAAATGGAACAGTTACGGGTTGTGCTACTGGACTTGAATTTGAGTTACTGAACAGCGAGTTCCCATTTGGAGTTTGTCTGTGAACCAAGAGGCCACTACTCATGTTTGCAGGTGTTTGATGACCATTGCCTTTCAATATTATCTGGGATCCATCGAGGTTATTAATGGTCATCATGGAAGGTTGATTACTAAAGGAACCAATTAGCTGTATCTGCCCAGAACCACTGATCTGGCTGCTATTAGACAAATGCTGGCTGGGAACACTAATTCCGACATGTTGCATAAAGCCATGTTGCACACCGACTGTATTGCTTGCAAAAGATGCTCCAACAGGTTGCTGTACCACTTGAGTAACTCCTATAGGTTGCAACGTCTGACCTGAGTAATTAGAAACATTAGAAGCCTGAGTAAAGGATGCTGATGAAGAAGGATGAAGCTGAGCTTGTGCAAACTGTTGGCTAGAACCTACACTGGCATCCAAATATGCCTCTTCTGCCAAAGTCTGTTCAGTAATATTGGCCTCCTGCAAGGACTTCTGAAGAATATCAAAAGGCTGATCCTCAGTAAGATCAGGCAAAGGAGACGATACAAGTTCATCTTCAAGAAACTGAAGGCTACTGGACAGCTGCAGTCCATCACTAGGCCCCTCTCCAAGCTGACCGCTTACACCTTTTACAGACGACTTAGGATCAGTGCTCTGAAACACAAAAGAAGAAATAAATAGTTTCCATAAACTTCTATATCTACCTTGTCTTCTCATTTCTTTTCATGCAAGCAAACTTTCTACACAAAATTTCACTCCTCACATCGCACAAATAAGGTGACATTCATTCCATACAGCGGGCCAGCACAAACACGAATAATCACTGACATCTCACTAGTGCCCTCAAAGAGACTGCTGGAGCACTACTCTCATTTCCCATCTCAAATCTCTGATTCCACGGCACCTAGCTCTGCAGCTGCACTGTTTCAAGAGGATATGAAATGCTCTTTAGGTACCATTTTCCCTTCCTCAATCCAAGCACTATACAGACAAAAGGATAAAAGAAAGAAGGAGTGAAAACACCTCCACTGTAATTCAATTTCAGGCAAGGTTTCAGTAGCAGCAGGGAAATAGAAGGAGAAAGCTTCTCTTTCACTGACTTATAGCAAAGGACATTCCTCTCCAAAATCCTATCAGCACTTCTATAATCACTCAGCGTAAACTAGTGACCATTTCATAAAGTAAAGAAGGAATTATTCCAATTCTTTTTTAAGACAAATTTTAGAAACAAAGCAGTAAGAAAAGCAATGCTACAGACTTTATGTTTTACGCTACTAAAATAATTACTGAGAACCATAAACACTGAAACTACCATAAATATTAAGTGGCTTCTTTAATGAAAAAATCCTTCAAATCTACATCCATAAACACCATGATAAAGAAAATCTAAACCTATTTACTCTTGTCTACTGTGCCTAAGATTTTCCTAAAATGAAATTCTGTCCAGAAACTCTAAACAACACAAATATCAGGTTTTTGCAGGTGGAATAACAATTAAAATGCATAATAATACTTGCAATAGTTTCAACTTAGGCATAGTACATCTTTCTACATTCCATAATTATATCTCAGCTATTCAAAAACAACATCCAGTGGCTTTTTAGGTCAGGATAAATGCAAACTGTGGGTGTGCAATTATCAGTCACATTCATACTCTAAGCCTGCACTCCTTGAAGGTCATAGACGCTTGTTTTCACCTCATGTAAACAGTGTGAAGATGCTGCAAGCCATAATTATCACATGCAATAACGTCCCCACCCTAACTTCAGTTCCCCAAGCACATTTATTCAGAATTTTACCCCAATCTGTTTCTGAAACAGCCTGTGTGTTTTTTGACACTTTGCTCATGTTTTGAAATATTAAGGCATTGTCCTTAAGATTAAATAAAATACTTTCAGATTACAACTATAAAACTACCAGAGGAATTAAACCAGTGCTTAAATGTCTCGATGCCTGCATCAAATGAACACTTAGAAGCTCAGATCCTCAACTGTACCTAGCTACCATCACACAAAGCAAAAAAGGAATCAGTAACTACAAGGGTATTATTAGGGCTCTTAGTTGCCAGGTTCTTGAGGACAATTCCCTATTGCATCTGTAATTTGTCTGCAGGTACAATGACCAATCTGAAACCTTTAATGACTGTGTAACTTAAAAAGTTCCAGTTAGTTATACTAACAATACAATTATTACTACTACCGAAAATAATAATAAATAATATTATATGCAATCAAGATTAATAGCTAGAAACTCTCTCACTGGAATAGAGACTCCCAAGTTTCACTTCCTGCACCCACAACTGTTTAACATCCAAAACCAATTTTATGTGCATGAACTGGAACAAGGGTCCTTCAAAGTTAGTATCTGAATCACTGCTGTCCAGACTCAGAAAAGCCATGCAGAACACCAGGCTAATTTCAGCAAGAAATTAACGCCTCTGCTTACCAACAAGAGTCTTATTCTCCCTCTCTCCATGAATATTCTGCTCTCTTAGGCTGTCCTACTATACTGTAATAGGATAATGGAAGCAGTCACCCAGTACAACCCAGGTAATAGGGCAATGGCTAAGGAACCCTCTCAGGAGGGTTGTAAAAGGCAGCGCCAACCGCCACAGGAAACCAACCTGGAATCAGCAGAGCTGGTATGGAATCAATCAACTTGGGGAAGGAGGGGATGGGAAGTGGGGGTAGTGTAAGGGTGTGGGAAGAGTGGACAGTGCTTTCTTGTCCTTCAGGCAGGAGGAACTTAATCTTGCTTGTGTTAGGTGTTGGCTGAGCATGCTTACCCGCTGAGGCACTGAACCCTTGACACTGAATTTGTAAAGTCTGCCACTGAAAGGCATGAGACGGGCATCAAGACAGTCAATCCTACTTCATGGTAGCAATTCTGAATACATACAAAGACAGAGCTTTCAGTATCTGCAAAAACTTGAATGACAAAAAAATTCAGAAGCCTTTAACTTTTTGGGTATCCCATATGATAAGCAAGGACTGTGAAATCTGTTTATATTTATATTCTAGACAACACTTGTTCCTTTGCAAGGCACTCTCTATTTGCAATTTGTAAGGATCTCTATTTGTAATCAAGTCATTCATCACTTAGGTCCGCCCAAGGCTCTCACAGGAAGGAGGGAAGAGAAAATGGCATTGGTATTCATTACGAAGATATAAAAGCATGAGGACAGAGCAGGAGAGGATCAAGTGCCAAGAATGAAAATGTAGTGTGTTCTCCTAGGAACATACACTAGGAATCCCTGCTCCTCTGACTACCTCCTTTTTAATTACCTACCCCTGTAATTTCATATACCAGAAAGCTCTTTGCTTTCACCAAATATTTTTGTTTCCTCCAACTGCTACTCCCCATCCAACAAACCCACCTTATCCAGAATCTCCCACTTCCTCTCAGAATTACTCCAAAAACTCACTTTCTGAAAATACACCAGAAACAACTGACTCCTGCACACCCACACATGCTTATCAGAAGAATACCTACAAAGAACTAGGAAGTCTAGGCTATGACAAATGCATGTCATGTGTCACCCTCTTCTCCCCAAACCTTGTTTTTCTTAGAATGAGTCCTCAAAACCCACCACCTCTGCCAATGCTGCCTACAGGGAGCTGCTGATGGCAAGCCTGGTACCAGATTGAAAACACAGCTCCGGGTGAACTGAAAATGGGGCACACCCTATTACAGTTGGTACTGTACTCCCTCAAAATTATCTCAACCAGCTTGTCTGGAGAAAGAACCGTCACTCAGTGTATGTTTCTTCCACAATATTTAATAATAACAATGTTGAAAGGGGAAGGACAGAGCAAACACTTCACATTCCAATACTGTGCCTACAGGAAAGTCACTAGTTCTCCACATACAAATACATAGTTTTTAAAATTTACTTATGCCAATTATTTAAGGTCCCTACATACCTACAAGTATATCCACGGATCTGTTATGAACATGGGACAAACACACAAGAGTCAAGATAACAGTACAACAGAAGGGAGAATTACCAAGAAAATCCTATTCTGCATATTCAAGTAACTTACTTGTGGGATTAAGAACTCAGTTCTTTTTTAAAAAATGAAACAGCAATGAATCAAAGAAATGTGAGCCAGAAGGGATCTCCCAAGTTATCCAGTCCAAACGTCTACTCAAAGCAGGACTCTATCTAGACATACACTAGAGCAGATCAGCCTTGGCTTTATCACCAAGGATTGGTGACACACCTCACTGTGTGACACTTGGTCCAAGGGCTACAATACATTCCTGGCAAGAAAGAACATTGAAGACTCCTTGCACCACCTAATGAATTTAAAGTTACTTCCCTAACACAGAAATTACAGGAAGAAAACAACCCAAGGTAGCTACTCAGTCCAAAATAAAAAAAGGGAAAAAATAATCATTAATTTCAAGAAACTGCAAGTTCAGATTCTCCTTAAAATAAGAAAAAAACACATTCTACCATACACAGGAAATGTACGCATGACTAACTTCTAAGGTCTATATTTGAGAACTACTAAATCTACAATTGCTAAAGTTGCAAGTTCAGTTTACTGGAGGGAGCTACACCAGAGAGCATTTTCACTGCTCAGCAAGCTGGTTTACATATTTACAAAACATGTCCCAACAACGCAGCATTTTTAATTAATTCCCCACCAAAATACTTAAAATACTAACAGCATGAGGGGCAGTTCTACATGAGCATTCAGAATTTTCACAGCAAACCCCACATCTACTTCATTCAGTTTTATGAAGGCCACATAAAGACACACAGAAGCACACAATAAATATAATTTCTCAATTTCCCAATAAATATAATTTCTCTTCTGATGACTTACATTGGAGTTGGCGAAAATTGAATTTGAGTTGGCTACAGAATATTCTGCATTAGTCAAGTCTTCATTGCTCTGGTAAAAGACAGAAATTAATTTTAGAAATAATACACTCAATGAAGGTTTCTATATCTAATACAAGGGAATGCTACTTACAGATTTACTACTAGGTCCATGTAGAAAATAATTCAGCGCCTGTGGGTCCCTTAAGGTGGAAAAAAATAAATAAGTTAATACTTTTTGGAATTTCTTTCTACTAATGAGGTTAATTTAACAAAGGCACATGCTATATTCACGTAAATCAGATTTATAGTAAAACACACTTCTTTCACTGAATCCAATGCAAAGTTGAAACTTTATATCATCTGAGGATCTGCGTTTCTGTATCAGCACAATTTTCAGATGCTAATTGTATTTGCTGCCATTGTAACAAGGCATTTCAAGCAATAAACTATGCTGATCACAAAATCTTAGTTGCACTCTACTTCCCTTTACGAGGATATTACTCATATTCTCTTAAAACACATGGTATTTTATGACAACACACAGTACAAAACCTAAGGAATATACTCCCAACACGTAATATGAGAATTAAAACAGGTACCACCTCTTCTACAGCTAAACTATAATGCCTTGTTTAGCTTGTATCTAATAAAGGGGTATTTATGAACCTGAATCTTTGGCATGTTTTCTGTTGCCCTTAACACATATTAATAAAAACCTGGGATTGCCAGAGTAACAGTCCCCTCATGGAGAAAATGTGGCACCTTTTCCAAGTGAAATCAACCACAGAAATAACCGGCTAAATATTACGACCTTCAGTGTATTTCATTAACTTAGCACTACCGCTGATTACAACTCAGATTAAAAATGCGGTCTGACAGAATGAGTGCTGGGAATTCAAAAAAATAAAAAATACATTAATAGACTCATATAGACCAAGTAAAAACAGTAAAAGGCTGTGTTACATGGGATCATTCTAATGCAACAATTATATGCCATTTCCTAACATGTCCATTAGCATAAAGACTAAATTGACAACTTGTTTTTATTTTAAAACGTGTTTATTGATTAACATGTAATAATACAACATTTCTTAGAAGCACTGAAAGCATCTCCTTCTTGCTTGATCATCCTAGAAAATAAAGAGGGAACAAGTTAAAGATCTTTCAGGTTTACAACTACTCTTCTAAAAGCACAGACAAAAGCTATTTCTCTTTTTTTTACAAAAGTTGTTTACAAAATACATATTAGATAGTATTTGGCAGGGACCTTATTATGCTTACAACACTGAAGTGGTTACACAGTGTAAAATGAAAATGTCATTTTCACAGCAGATTACACTGAATTTCAAGAATTAAGCAGCACAGAACTCATGATCACATATGGGGCTCTATCATGATTACATGCTTTATCAGTAAAATAACCAGGGTATTTAGTACTAATTACTCTCACTTTCAATCATGAAAAATGCAATTAAAAATTAAGAACACTTCATCACCTTAAATATTGTCTTTAGTAAGGAAGGAATTTTAAAAGGCACTTACCAAATCATAGATCAGACGGAAAAAAAGAACGTGTTTTCCATTCTTTTAGGTGCTTAAGACAATTATTTCTGCCAGCAACAGGAAGAACACTGTAATTTTTCACACAAACACTCATCTGTATAGAGAGCACTTCACTTTCTTGGACCACCTGTGATCTTGTACCAGGATCCTCACGATTCACCCTCACACCAGAGCACTTAATTATCCCAGGATCATCTTTACGTTTCAAGCAGGAAGTGTTTTCGTATTGCCACAGTAACCTTGTGCAACAGCACACTGCACAGCAGTGCTTTTGCTACAGCATCCACAGAGCAACCCTCCAACTACAGCAGCCACGGTGGTGGCATTTTGTTTTCTCTGAAGTTAAAGCTCTCACTGCTCTCACTGGAAGTTTTCCGTGTGTAAGAAAGGTGAAAAGCCTATTAAGTTACTACACGTAAAACACTAAAAAAATTCTTGTATGAGGTGGAAATGATCATTTAGCAACTGCTACAAGACAGATGTCAGACTAACTTCTGGCAGAGTTTGAACAAAATATCACGTATGAAAAGCTCAATTCTCTTCCATGTATTATAGCATATTATCTCTCCTTGATTACTGACGTGCATGGTAGTTAAAGGAAGGTAATTTGTCGCATATAAAATCCACAAAAAACGTACTCGAGACTCAGTTATCTTAATTTTGTATTAGATTTCCTTACAGAATTATAAAACTCCAAATAAATCTGTTATGGATACAATGGGGGGGGGTGGGCAGAGGAGGACCACACAGAGGGAAAAAATCCCACCAACCCACAGGACAATTTAAAATCCTCGATTTTACTAAAATCAAGTACCTTTGAGCAAAACGCTGATAAATTCTTGTTCATTGTGAATACTTTAAAGTACAGGGAGTACAGGGTTTTTTCTAACATTTAGATGCAAATGTGTATTTATAAATATGAAAAGAATCATTTCACCTTTCCCCTTAAAATACAAGCATAGTACTAATAAAATACCTACTTCCCCTACTCAAAAAAACCCCTGAGATCTTTAGATTTTTATTACAAGTAATAGTTATTTGCAATGAAGTTTGTAACAACATCCCTAGTAATGTGCTTCAACACTGATCTGATATTACCAGTAGGTGAGAAGAGAATCCAAACTCCAGGAAGACACATTCCCTAGCCCCTCCTGAGGAGAATGTCAGCAAGTGAAGTGTTAGCCAGTATACCTTTTGTGATACACACATCTCCACATGGAAGAAGTGAATCGTATCTGCTCATTTCATTTGCCAGTCACCTCATCTTTAGACAATAATGAGACAGAATCACCTTCTAGGAGACGATTTTGCAAAATTATTATTCCCACTTTTTCTGCAATAATTGCTTGTGGAAAACTTACCCAATAAGATCAAGGAGACAGGATTCATCATCGTCATCATCCATGACAACTAGAACAAAGAAGGAGAGGATGGATATTTGATATGTATCACACAAAAGTTTGCATTCAACAACAAATACGATTTAAAATACCTGAGTGTTTTTTATAAAACAATTTATGAAGTTGACAGTTGTTTACTACTGGTAAAGGTCTTACATAAATCTGCACTTTCTACAGACATCTGCTGTTTTATCTCAAAATCAAATTCAGTCACACGCAAAGATTTACAAAATCCTGTGCAATGTTTTACCCTTCAGGGGCTTTTTTAGAATTTTAAATCAGAGAAAAACAAACGATTCACCAAACTGATTAAACACAACTTCTGTGACTTGAGGTAGTAAAAATATCAACACTGAATGCAATCTAAGACTCCAGTCAAAATGCTTCTATAGGACTTTATTCTCAGCTAATACCAGTGAGGGAATAACCAAACACTACAGAACCTACAAAGGCTGTTACAAATTAGTGGCTGTAATACTGAGCAGTCAAAAAGGTAAACAAATTTAGGTCAGTATCATGAGGGGGTTGCTATAGTCTAGAACCAAAACTACAGCCAAGACATGACAAAACATTAAAAAGAACGCTGTTTTCTAACAGACCTTTCTTAGCAATAGCTAAGTGACACCGTGGCCACTTCCAGTTTCTCCTCAGCAATATTCAGAAGTGTACTTCCATGAACTTGTGACTAACAGTACAGTGTTCTGACAGTCCTTTTAACAATGGGTTAAAAGGGGAGGGAATTCATTGGCACTAGCCAACCTGTGGGTAACTATCCACTTTCTGAGTGCAGAGCATTTTTAGTCTCACAGTATCACAACCACCAACCCTCTTATGCACTGCCAACTCCGTCAGGTGCTGCCTGTACCAAACACGTTCCATCGCTCTCTCCTCCAATCGCTGCTCCTTCAAGCTTCTGTTTGATTATCCTGGACTTCCCTGTTCACCACAACTCTCAGAATATCATCTGAGACTGTACCTTCTCCTTTGTTCTTGTCAGTAACTCTCAAGACCATCCCATCTAATCCAGCAGTTCAATTATCAACTGATGCTAGCATTCCCAAAACCTCTTGGTAACCTGGTTTCCACCTAAGCTCTCCTATCTCATCGTTACTTTTTCAACACCTCAAGTTGATCAGTGTGTCCCACACTTGTTTTTTTCTAAACTTTTTTCTAAACTTTCCATAAAAATTCTGCTATCATACTGATCATCGAAATGTATTAATACAGTTTTTGGCTTTAATTAATTTTGCTCTCTTACTTCTTGCCAAACAGAAGATTACTCTCCCTGACCAGAGATTCACATGAATCATTCTTCAGGCTGTCTCTCATACAGATCTCCATAGTGATTCAGACAATGAAGGGACTAGAGAACCCATTATACAAGAGGCTGAGAGCACCAGGACCAATCTGCCTGAGAAACAGAACGCTATGGGAAGATCTTAGCCATGTGTATAAATACCTGGTGAGAAGACGTTTTAAGAATATTGAGCCAAACTCTTCTCACTGGTATCCAGTGAACAAACAAGAGGCAAGAGGCACAAATCGAAAAAATATAAACCAAAAAAAAGGCTATTTAAACATTAAAAAAAAGCTTGTACTTCTTTTAAAAAATCTAAGAGAAGTCAAATACTGGGCACAGGTTTTCCAGAAAGGTTATGGAGACTCCATCCTTGGGGATATCCAGAACCCAGCTGGACTGCAGCCTTGACCTGACAAGTCTGGTTAAGTCTACTGTGAGCAGGACAGAGGATGAGGTTATCTGCTGACATCCCTTCCCACCTCAGCTGGCCTGTGATTCTGTAACCTCTTTCCTGAAATTTTTCTCAACTCCACTGATTCTGAAAATAGTTTATGCTGTAGACTAGCAGAGGGTACTGTGTCCTCTATACCGCATAGCCTTATTCAGGTTTTTTCTTTAGCTGTGTTTTAGGCTTACAATGAGGGTGAAGCAGAAACAGAGCACATAAGGATCATCCAGTATCACCTCTCTGGAGGAACAGGAAAACAAAGCATGGCTATGGAGAACTATCTCAAATGCTGACAAAAATCATCATTCATGAGGTGATTACGCATCTTAAGAAAAGTAATTTCTCCCATGATTCAGTATTACATCTGCTTACTATTGCATAGAGCCACCAGCTTGAGCACTGATCTTGCAATTTAATCCTCAGCAAATGGCATGACATGGTACGATGTCACAAAATTTAATGTAAATATGCATTACTAAGATCAAATTAGTAAGTGATCAGCATTAAGTGAGTAGCATTCTGCTTTAACTGTACTGCTAGACCACTTAGAGAAAGTTGTGATTTCCTCTAAACAGCTGAAAGCATACCCATCTCTGAAGAGCAAGGTTCCAAAGACTCCTGGTTAACCAAAAGTAAAAATCTATCGGAAGTCAAAATTATCTTTGTTTTCACACTGCTTTTGAATATCCCATCCCATGTGTCTATGGCAATACTGACAGCATCATTTAAATACCATAAAATGTCTTTGCTTTACCTAACTAAATATTCTCTGTGATTATATTACAATAAGGGTTCACCATTAGCAAAAGTGACAACACAGAACTTTGTTCAATCAATGCTCCTGTGGGTATTAAAACAACTAACGCAAATTAAGACAATTTGGTAATTTCACTGAATTCTTCAAAACTTGCTTATAATGATCAGAAGGAAAATAAAATGCATGAAAGCACTGCTGAGAGAAGATCTTAATGGTAATCCATATTCTTCACTATTAAACCCTTTAGCTGAACATACAATTGGCTTTATTAGAGATTTATCCAACACACTCTAAACACCTACCACTTTATGATGGACAATAAGCCCCAAAGAAAAAAGCTGCATTTTTTATAAACACCAAGAATCACAACTAGTTCCCTCCTGAAGTACAACTTCCTAACAAGCTTTAACAACATTCTTGTCATCACAGGCAGAATTCTGTCCCACGTAAAAAAGAAATATGCCACCTTTTCATTTATAAGGGTAGCTTACCAATGAGCTAACCTGTATAAAACCATATCCAAGTTTTCATACAGCTGATCATGGTACCATCACAGAGCCACTTATCATATACAGCTCTTGCTACATTCAGAAGTCATCCCAATCAGCATTCGCGGCACGAAGGGCTACATGCTCCCAACACCTCGAAAACTGCAAATAAAGCACACGTAGATCGCTTCTATCTTGCTATCCCCACAAATCATGGCACTAATAAGGTGCTTCAAGGCAGTGCTTTTGTGAAGCACCACAGGACCAACATGCAATTTGAACAGCACTCCCAGGGGTATGTGGCCTGTGAAAGAACAATCAACATCACAGCCAAGCCAGAAACCTATCTATCTAGACTAAATTCTGTTCCTATTTCACCACACATACCCAAAATTGACATAAGCATGGAACTACATGTTGTGGTTTAACCTGGCAGACAGCTAACTTGCTCACTCCCAAAAAATGGGGGAGGGAATCAGGAAAAAAAAGGTCAAACTCAGGGGTTGAGATAAAGACAGCTTAATATGACCAAAAAAAAAAAAAAATGGAAAATCATAGCAATGATAGAAGAATATGCAAAACAAGGGGTGCACAACGCTCACCACCTGCTGACTGATGCCCAGCTCCATCTAAGCAGCAGGCCATCACTCAGCAGCCAATTCCCTCCAGTTTTATTGTTCTGCACGATGCCACATGGAATGAGATATCCCCTTTGGTCAGTTGGGTCAGCTCTGGCAGTTGTGTCCCCTCCCAGTTTCTTGCCCACCCCCAGTCTCCTCACTGGTGGGGTGATGTGAGAAGCTGAAAAGTCTTTGGCTTAAGGGAAAGCACTGCCCAGAACAACTAAAACATCAGTGTGTTATCAACATCATTGTCATCTTAAATCATACAATTTGAATCACTGGTTGTTCTCACAAAAAATCAAATCCCTTTGAGGTTCATATAGGCCTTCCCCATCCTTCTGCATTAACCACCAAGTGCACTCAGGACCTTCAACAAGTGCAATCCCATGGATGGTTTTACCTTTGCTTGAGACAGGAATAACCCAGACTGGCTTCCCCAGCTTATTTTTCTACGTGCACTATAGGAACTTTATCCCCTTCTACAGCATGTAAAAGTTTTGACTGGGCAGAACCAGCCCAATTAGCAAATCCCTTAGTGTAAACTAATCAGATGGCTTTTGCTATATGTGTATCAAATGTTTGAATACAGCAGCAGTACCTGCTGCTCTCAGTGTGACCTTTAACAGTCCACTGAATTGTCTGATTTTCCCAGAGGTTGATGCAGGACAGGGAAGGTGATACACCCAACTCAGTGACATGCTCTTTGCCTATTTCAGCCACTGTCCTCCACACCAGAGAGGCTTTAGCCACTTGGCTTGCTTGACTGCAGTCCAGGTGTCACATTCATGGATAACCTGTGCAATAGTACCCGTGGTCAGGTTCACCCCAGGATCACAAGCTCACCTATATGCTGCTTCTCTTACTTGCTGGCCTAAGGTGTCATGGGCTCACCAAGCTATGGATAATTCACCCTTACATTGCCAGTCCAGATCCACCCGAGCCACTTCAGTCTTAGCAGCCTCTTGTACCTGCTGGCTGATGTTCTTCAGTGTCACTCCAGATGAAGACAGAGAGGTTCTGCCCCTTTATAACTTGATGGCATTAAGGGTACATTGTGCACCACTGCCCACCAGAGTGTTATCTCCTGTGGCTTTGATGTGCCAGACCACCAAATCCACACAGTCCAATAAACCTGGTAGTCCCCCTTCCTCCACCTCGATGGAGGCAGGGCCCTTCTAGTCCTGGTCATGGCACTTGTTACTTCTTGCAAATACAAATCAGCCCCCTTGCTGGCGGGGCAGTATGAGAAGGTGAAAAGTTCTTGGCTTAGTGCAAGCACTGCTCAGGAACAACTCAAACATCATGTGTCATCAACATTATTCTCATCCTAAAATCCAAAACACAGCACTGTACCAGCCACTAGGAAGAAAATCAACTTTATCCCAGCCGAAACCAGGACACTGCAGGTTTAAATCTTTTCAACTGATGCCTATTTTCAACAATGATTAGCAAACGATTAGTGTCCTATTAATTTCAGGAGAGCAACAGTGGAGGTGAACAGTCAGACAAAGTACCTGCACACCCAAAAGCAACTAGTTATTCAGTCTACTTAGAAAAGAGAAATTTGAGCAATACATGACCTTGACACAGATGATCATTTAAAAGTGTGTTAATAAAAGCAAGCTTGTCCCGTGGAATTTTCCAAACACATTTTCTACAGCACAAGTGGTAGAAAAGTTTGCCACTTTTCTTGCCAACTACCTTTTTGGGTTTTCTGTTCTCCTCACTGTTCATTAACATACGGTGAACAAAAGCAATGACTGATGTATGAAATGGGTAAAAACCATATTAAGCCAGGACAGTTTGAAAATAAAACTTAACACAATTTGTGGAATTAAGGGTTATGTACCCTGGACCAGTGGTCCTCAAAGTGGGGTGCGTGCAGGACAATCCAATGGGGTGCAGGACGGAAATACTAACCCTTCAGTAGTATATGCTTATAATTTCTAAATAAATATACATATATGGGGGGTGCATGCTCAAAAAACTTGACAATAGGGGTGTGCAATCAAAAACATTTGGAGGTCATGGGCCTAGACTCTTAAACATTGACTCACTTCTGTAGTTGGATCAGCTGATGGAGACTTCAGGCAGTGGGCAAGGGGTGAGGGTGCAGGCTCAAGATGAGGCTTGTCTGGGCTGTTGGGGCCCATCAGTACACTCAGGGCCCTGACAAGAGCCCATGCCAGAGACAGCTGGAGGAAAATACACCTTGGGAAGATTCACACAAACCTGCTGGGGCACTGCTACTATGTAGCCTAACAAATATCTAGTTATCAACACTGGTCTACAGTGTCTCTATTAGAACAACCACCACCAAAAAAAGCCTGTTTCCTGTTTATAAGAAATAGGCCAAACTCAGCCCTGCTGATGCATCCAAATAATTTACAAGGGGCATTCCTCATTAATTAGTCATAACCCAGCACAGATATTCCCTGGAGTTTACTACCAAGGCCTCTACTGTTTTATTTCATCTCTTTGCTGTAATGTAATGGCCAGTCTTCGCGAACGAAGAACCGGGGAAGGTCTTTCCACCTT